TTCCGTTTTCCCGCCGTTTTCAGGTCCTGTTCGTGCCTCTGCTGTGTACCCTCTGACGTCAAGAACACGTGGACGTGATATCAGTCTGTTTGGAAATCCCCCGGGGATCCCTAGGAACGTTCGATTTGCCCCAGGCCCCGATAGAAAACCCTACGGTTCCTATCAGTTCTTTGGTCGATCCAACAGTTACATTGAATTTCCAAATCGGGGCAAGATAGACACCAAGCGATCAATCACTTTGTTGGCTTGGATTTACCACGAAGGCCGCGACGGACCCATCTTCAACTACATGCCGAACGGCTGGGGCGTGCACTTTTGGATGATTTCACCGAGGACCCTTTTTGTACGGTTTACGCGCCGTAGAGGACGTCGATTCACCAAAGCAGTGATAAGCAGGCGAGTCGTGCCGAGGCGATGGCAGTTTGTTGGTGCGACTTACAACCAACGGACAGGACGAGCGAAGTTGTTTGTCAATCGAAGGTTTACTGCTAGTAAATATATCGGTAGGATACGACTCGCGACTAACTACCCGGTGAGAATGGGCGCCCGTATCGGTGACAGGAGGTATTTCCGAGGACGAATCTCGTGTATGCAGGTGTATGATCGGGCCCTCACAGCGAGACAGATCTTGCGTAGGAAAAGGAGATGCTTTAGAAAAGGTATTCATCGATGACTAATTATATGAACATAAAGCAGTTATTTACTAATTGCACAATTTTAGGACATTTCGCGACATAGTGGACGAGGTAAATTGAGACGTGCGTGCCTCAGTACCATGACAGCCGCGTTTTTGGCGCGAAAACTTTACTTTTTGGGAGACGTCATTCCAGTCAAAAATATTGCCCATGTTTGTTTTCCCAAAATGTTCATGAAGTTATACAAACTCATCATAGCGGACTGGCTAGCCTACCTTGTTTTTTATAAATTCAAGGATTAAAACTTTACCATGTTTAAGTAAAATCAATTCATTCCATCGCCCTCATCTTCGCTTCAGGTCCAGTCATCGTTCCTGGCGTTCCAAGTGGTCCAATTCGGTCAGCTGGAAAAGGTATGTTTTTAGTCTTATGATTGTTTGTTTCTTAATGAGGAGTTTATAAGAAAGAAGGCACTCTTAATAACGTTTTTTTGTGAAATCTATGCGCTCCGATTGGCTCCCTAAACGTTTAAACCGGCTTACTTTTCCGCTGGTTTAATACTAGCTTACAGAAAAATTAGTTTTTTTACCGAACTGAAGATGAGAGCCTCTATTTAATGCTTGCAGCCGTAATCATAGCTTGCGAGAGCAGACGTATTTCCGGCTGTCGCTTGTTTCCGTCTCGGTGGAGAGCAGCGACAGCCGAAAATACGTCTGCGGTCGTAGGCTAACGAAGTTGGCGAATTTCAGGATGCGATAGATTCTTCTAGAAGTTCAACTTGTTTTTTCCGTGGCCCTATACCCACATAGGGTTATGGTCGAAGAAGAAGAAAAGTGGAATATTTGTTTGTAGCATGCTTTCTTCTGTCTATCGTGGTGTAAAAACTACTTTTTAGTGACTAGAAAGTTACAATTCAAGTAGCTACGAAAGTATTGCTACAAAAAGAAATAGTTTACGTTACAAAACGTCTTTCTACATGGGGTAGCAGCTAAAATGAGTGTTGTTGTTTCTGTTTTCTGTTTTTTTGGTTTGTTTGTTTGTTTGTTGCTGTTTGCAAAACTTTCCTTCCTTCTAACTTACCGCCTATCGTTTAGAATTATCTTTTGCTTTACAGTTTGCCAAGCTAAGCTCGACATCGCTTTCGTCCTCGATGGTTCCGGAAGCATCGAGGCCTACGGCAGAGGAAACTTCAAACGCTGTCTCGACTTTGTGAAACGATTGGTCGTTTCCTTCAAACTCGCCAGGAGATTTACTCGTGTCGGTGTAGTGCTGTTCTCGTACCGTCCCCGTCTCATATTTAGGTTCAGTACCTACAGCAGGAAGCGAGATATCCTCAGAGCCATCGACAGCATCAAATACCCAAGAGGAGGTACCAAAACAGGGCTAGCGATGTATTATGCGCAGCGGGTTCTGTTTAGGCGCAGGCGCGGTAGCCGAAAGTCGGTGATGATCGTGATGACGGATGGTCGTTCCCAGGACCGCGTGAGCGGAGCCGCCCGTACGCTCAAGAGGAAGCGTGTGACGATATTTGCTGTCGGTATTGGCAAACGGTACAATATCAACCAACTGTTCCAGATAGCGACGTCGAGAAGACATGTTTACACGGCTGGATTTAGGAATTTGCCGTCAATTGTCAGGGTTATCAAGACAAAGGCTTGTGCAGGTAAAGGAATTTTGTTGTAAGCTGTTTGTGTGTTTTTTTGTGTGTGTTTGTTTTTTCCTTTTTTTATGTTCAAACCTTTTCGAATTCTAATTGGTGTCATAACAAAGCTGATACCAGCTCAGGTAAAATGTCCAGTATTTCAGTCCGTCTATACCGATCATTGTAACAAAAAAAATTAGGGATCATCATCATCATCACCATCCTCGTTTCCTTTTCTCCGAGGAAATAAAGCTTGGGAAAGAGTATTATCATCGATGGTATGAGTGAGGAGACATAGTTTCACAGTTGATGACAGTCGAGAATAGGGGCGCAACTTGCGATTTTGCTCCATTACGGATATAAATTGTCATCATTATGGTAATCATAAATTATGTTCAACGATTGGTTTAAACCGTTACCTAGATCCAGGGTGATTGACACCCAATTTCTCGTCACCATGTCCGTACATTGTTGAGCAGAAATGTGATCAGTATAAACAAATCATCAACTTGAGAATATAGTGTTGTAACTTAAATTCTTCGTGGTAATGAAACGTAGAAATTTATGGATTGTATTTTGAAATGAGATTTGACATTTTGTTCTGATCGTTTCTCTTAAGGTGCTGTCAAACCAGGAAAACCTTCTCGTCCAGCACGTAAGTGGTAGAACTTTCTAAAACTTTAACATCAAACTTGTCTTACACAAAGCTATTCCTCCTGTATGGTGCTTAATGCACAACAGGAACTTCATGATCGGCCGCGCTCGTTTTTCTTATTCAACTATACCCGGGTTAATTCTCTCCCTTGAGGGCAATCGTCACTGCTCACAAATACAAGGGATAAGTCTCTAGAAAAAGTTCAATAACGAGGCGCGCGAAGTCTAAAAATAGAATGCAAATTATTGGAACCCCGCGAAATTCAGATAACATAAGCGTGTTTCGAGAGAAACAAGAGGAAAATGAGCGCCAAATTTTCGTTTTAAAAGTCGTTGTAGAAACACTTGTTTATGCGCTTGAAAAAGCTTTAAATCTTCCACCATTCCGTTTTGTTTGTCTAAGTTTGTCTGAGTTATAACGTCACTCGCGCACTTCGCTATTCAAGGTTCTTTTTTAAATATGCATGATTGCTTCTCCAACCCTTTACTAACTATCGTAAGATATTGATTTGTATTATTATCAGTGACGTGCCATCTCTTTATCTATGCATTAGTCTTAGGGATTCAATTCCAGACTAAGCTATTCGCAAAACTTAACGACTTCCCGGATTATAATCTCGATTTAAGTAATCGAATCGTATAAATTGAAGTGAATTGTTCGTTTCCAAAGGTTATGTGCGCGCCATGGCTCTGTACCCGCTGTCATACCGAACTAAAGGAAGAGACATTGGTGTGTTCTCCAATCCATCTGGAAGACTTAGCAATGTTAGACAGGCCACTGGTCCAGACAGACGACCGAACACTGCAACGCAGTTCTTTGGAAAACCAAACAGCTACATAGAGTTCCCTAACAACGGAAAGCTAGACACGAAGCGATCTATCACCCTTTTGGCTTGGATCTACAATCAGGGAAGCGCTGGTCCTATTTTTAACTACATGCCGAACGGCTGGGGTGTACACTTCTGGATGACGTCCCCTATTACGCTCTTCGTTCGTTTCACGCGTCGACGAAGACGGCGCTTCACTCCTCACCTTCAGTACCGTGGCGTTAAGCGCAGACGGTGGCAATATGTTGGCGCCACGTACAACGGAAGGACAGGTGTGGCCAAATTGTATTTGAACAGCAGAATGGTTGCAAGAAAACGCATTGGAAGGTTCAGGTTGGCAACGAATTATCCGGTTAGAATGGGAGCAAGGGTTGGTGACAGCCGCTTCTTCCGGGGAAAGATTTCTTGTATGCAGGTATACGGTATGGCTTTGAATTCTAGGCAGATTGCAGCTCGAAAGAGGAGGTGTTTCCTGAAAGGTAAATCTTGACAAACAAATAATTCTGCGTGTTGTTTTAATTGCCATGAATGTTTACAGAGACTTGTTTTAATGCCACTACACGAGTACAGCAGCAAGATGTCGACTTTTATCAACTTTCAATATCATGGATGACAAAATATTCCTTAATTTTGGCGCGAAATTTTAGCATTAATTTATAATTTCACATGTGAAATTACAAAATTGCCTTGGCAACGTTTGGCGCGAAATTTTTCGATACCATAAACAAGTCAAAACCCCGCGATTGTATGAGTAATTTGTCACCCGCGATATTAGAAGGTAATCAAATGGTTTACTCGTGAAATTAAGAAGTAATTTAACTTACGTTTTGTCAATATTCCTATAGTTAGAATTTTGACAAAACACACGCGAAATTATATACTAATTGCACTTCTCACCATTTAATTACCCATAGTTATTAAATTTCTTTGCTATAGAATGTATGACTCGTACACCGTTGAGTAGTTGTAATTTACTGCATTGAATAGTTTAATCAAACCCTCCCATGCAACGCATGTCATAGTAGTCAGACGAAGCAGACGAGCGCGAGCCATCAACAGTATTGTCGGCTTCATTATACCGTTAAACGTAAAAGTAAAGGGTGATTTCATAGCTCTGTTATAATTGTTTCTGTTTTGTAGGTCCAGTCACACCTGGTCGACCAGTCGTTCCAGGCGGAGTACCATTCCGTCCAGGAAAACCGAGTAAGTATCAAGATTCATTCTTTGATCATTACAGTTGACTCTAGTGACGGACATGCTATCTCGTGTTGCTCCTCATATTGAAGTTGGAATTGTTGCTCGCATTTAAAAAATATATTGCACACTAGCACTTTGCCGTTTTTGTTTGGATCAATTAGCTCAGAACAGCCAACTTAACTCAAAACAAAATTCAGTTACAACTAAAATAACACGCAAACTTCTCCTCACTTCTTGGTTTTCCTTACGACGTACGCAGACGCTATAAGACGTTGATAATCAGCACCTTTTGGTTGGAAAATGTACTAACAAAAGGTGCTACTTAGCAGCGCTCCACGGCGTGTATGTTGCTTATGCTTATGCTTGTGCACATGCTCTAGTGAAAACCAACCTATTATTATTCTTGCTCATGCACTTCCATTTCTCCTCAGTGTGCAAAGCTAAGGTGGATATCGGCTTCCTCGTGGACGCTTCTGGCAGCATCGAGATGTACGGTCGAGGGAACTACCAGCGCGTCAAAGACTTCGTCAAGGAAGTGGCGGGAAGCTTCCTTATCTCCAGGCGCGGAACACACGTCGGTGTGGTTGTATTCGCCAGCAGACCAGAGCCGGTTTTCCAGTTCAACACCTACTACACGCGGCGTGAAGTCATGAACGCTGTTCAAAAGATCCCCTACATCAACGGTGGAACCCGAATCGGCTTAGCAATCCGAAGGGCTACGCGGTACTTATTCAAATCTCGTCACCACCCCGGACGAAAGAAGGTTTTAGTTGTCTTGACCGATGGTATTTCGTACGATGACGTCATAGTCCCCGCCAGGAGGCTTCGTCGCACGGGTGTTTCCATATATGCTCTCGGAATGGGTCTTAAATACAGTCGACGACAGCTGGGCAAGATTGCGGGAACTCCCAGACATGTTTTCACCTCTAAGTTTGCGACTCTACGAACTGCCGCTCGTAAAATCGTAAGCCGGATATGCTCAGGTAAGTAAATTGGAAGAATTCCTTGACTTCGTAGACCATGTCCCGGCTCTTCAAAGTTGAAAGAAAGAAAACAGAGCTGCCTACACTACTAAAAACACAAAACAGCTACTGACAGTACTTCTGTACCTTACTTACAATACAATATCAATTTTTAACAATTTTTGTTTTTTTAAAGGAACTTTACTTTCGTAACAACAATATGTACCTTTTAAAAAAAAATGCATATCCTTGTATTAGTGTACAGAAGGAGTATAAGTACTGTAAAGTTAAAGCAAACATTGCAAAATAATTTTAAAAAAAAGGAAACAGAGAAACAAAACATTACCAAGGTTATATTTCCGTTATATTCCAATTTTTTACCAAATGGCGAGTTTTTCTTGTCCTATCTCAGTTATGGCGTAAAGATTTTCCAGCGTTTATATTTGTTATACGGCTGTTGTCTTATTATACTTGTCCCATCCAGAACCAGGAGCCAAACCTGTTAAACCAGTTGGCCCTCGACCTGTGCGACCACGCCAACCAGGTAAACATGACCATTTATCAGTTAGAGCGGCTTTCAATTGAGTGTCGAAAGTTATCAGGCAATTACTTTGGTTTTGGTTTTGGTTTTACTACACTTAATTGAAAACGGCTCTATCGGAAGTGAAATAAAATGAAAAGAAACGGGAAAACAAAACCAGACAACTCATATCAGAGGAAATTTCTCCAAAGCTCTATACAATACTGAACCACTAGATTCTTAAAACCAGAAGATTTTCATATTTGTATTCGCAATCTGACGAAACCTACCTTTGCTGCCTTTGTAATTACATCTGCAAATGGTTAGACGCTCAGGTCTTCTCAAATAAGGACTATAAACCGTGGGCCCCTTGTCCCGCATCTTCAGTGTTACGCGGTTAGCAGGGTGGCGTTGTAGAACCCACACACTTATCGAAAAGAGTGGGTAGTTCCCGGTGTTGTGGTCTGGCCTTGTCGTAAGGGTTGATGCTTTACATAGGGTTAACCTCATTGCACCTTTCCCCCTTGGAAAGAATTACTATGACTACTATGACTATGACTACGACTACGACTACCATATTACCATATTATCTCTCACACGCAGTGCGTGCCGTGGCAATTTATCCCCTGAATGGAGGAATGCAAGGTCGCGACATCAGCTTGAGTAGGAATCCAGCGGCTATCTTAGGCAAAGTCAGGACCGCGCCAGGACCTGACAGAACACGTGATGGCTCGTACCAGTTCCTGGGTAAATCCAGCAGTTATATCCAATTTCCAAACCACGGAAAGCTGGACACAAGACGGTCCATCACTCTTATGGCGTGGATCTTTCACCAGGGTCGCGCAGGACCCATCTTCAACTACATGCCAAACGGCTGGGGCGTGCACTTCTGGATGATTTCACCGAGGACGCTGTTTGTACGGTTTACGCGTCGAAGGAGACGCCGCTTCACCAAGGCGGTGATGAGCAGGAGTGTCACGCCTAATCGATGGCAGCTTGTTGCTGCGACGTACGACGGAAGGTCGGGACAAGCCAAGCTGTTTGTGCAAAATCGGTTTGTGACGCAAACGTTCATTGGAAGAATACGATTGGCTACAAACTATCCAGTCAGAATGGGAGCGCGTCTTGGTGATAATCGTTTCTTCCTTGGGCGCATCTCCTGTATGCAGATTTATCCAATGGCACTAACGAGAAGACAGATACTTGCACGCAAAACCAGATGTTTCAGGAAAGGTCAGGCAAATTACCAACCTTGTTATCGTGTTACACGTTGATTGCTGACTCGAGCTCGAAATTTTATGGCACTTTTTCACCAATAAAAAAAAAGTACGAAGCTTTTTTTTATGTTCCTAGTGAGCAACATCATTGGCCAGGCTGAGTTGCTTGTGGACATTTATGCCATGTATGACTGCTTGTCATGATCAGAAGTTTTTCTAGCTTTTTCCACCGACACCTAGGAGCGTGGGCCACGACATTATCGTTAAATCTCGTGGTAAATGATGACGGCCAATGTGTTTTTTTTTTCGCCACAATCTTACTAAACATGCGTTCTCTTTTAGTTTTCGTAAATTTCGTATTCATAGCTCTACCTACATTGAAAAACAATGTTACAGCTGAATCTCTTTCAGCAATCGATCGAGCCACTTTGTACTGCTCTTGTTAAGTTTTTCTTTTGTGCTTTATTCAATGTAACTAAGACTTATCTTTTTCAGTTGTTCGACCTCGTCCCAGACCTCGACCAAAACCTAGGCCGAAGCCACCGATTCCAGGCCTGCCTGGTGGTCGAGGTAAGAATGTTTCTCAGACGCTACAGGCACGGTTTTAGTTATCAACCTGAATATATTTAAAGACAATATAGTTCTTCATGGCTGATAACAGCATTTATTACAATTTAGGGACTAATATGTCTTAATAATAAATGGCAAAAAAAAGAAACAAATAAAATGGCAATAACAGTAATAATGAGACTAAAGTTCTAAATAAAGCGATGAGGATGGTCCGTGAAAAGGTTAGAACCCCACACAAGACAGACCACCTATATATTAAATATGAAACCCATTGAATAAATGCAACGTTAATTTCCTTACAAAGTCGCTCTCACCGGTCTTAAAAACGCGCACATTCGAACCTCGCGGTTTCCTGCTAAAATAATTTGTTCTCTATTCGCCACATAGGTTTAGCTACATGTATGTGGAAGTTTCTGCTGAATAATCAATGTGCAATTACCTTTTTAGTTTGTCGCGCCAGAATTGACGTTGTATTCGTCGTCGATGGCTCGGGCAGCATCGAAGCTTCTGGTAGAGGTAACTTCAGGCGATGTCTCCGCTTCGTCAAGAACATGGTTCGTTCGTTCACAATATCAAGAAGTTACGTACGGGTTGGTATCGTGTTGTATTCATCTCGTACACGACTGATACTCACCTTCAATCAAAACCGTGGAGTTAACAGCATACTCCGAACCATTGACAGAATACAATACCCTAGGCGTGGCACTAGAACAGGCGCAGCCATTTCCTTTGCCCTCTCCCGCCTGTTCTCTGCCTCCAGGAGAGGGAGGTCGAAGGTCCTGATTGTCATGACTGATGGCCGGTCACAGGATAATGTAAGGGGTCCTTCCAGCATACTGCGCAGGCGCGGTGTAAGGATATTCTGTCTTGGTATTGGTAAACGCTACAATATGCAACAGTTGTTACAGATGGCTGGTAGTCGTCGAAACGTCTTCACGGCTGACTTCCGTAACCTTGGCTCTGTGGTACGAGCTATTAAGCAGAAGGCTTGTAAAGGTAAGAGATGTAAGGAAGATGTCTTGTTTTATAATTAGTTTTTAAAAGCATAAGACATAAGTAGCATCACGTTGTATTAAACGGAAATCTGAAAGTGCTCGTGCAAAAATGAAGAATTCCTTTAGCAAAGAATCCACAACAATACAGTAGGTAGCTTGCACTGCAGGCTATGCTCAAGCCCGAACGATTTGCAGAAGCATAAGCGTAAGAAAACTCTTGTGTGAAGGTACGTAAGATAAGCAAAAGAAAAGACGCTTTTTTGCCTTTTCATGTGCTGTGTACATTTCACTAATGTAAACCGGCTTGAGATAAGCACAAGCAGAAATAATAATGATGATGATGATGATGATGTTGATAGATGTGATCCAATAAATATGATCTAATAATCATAGATATGATCCTCCTCGTCCGCCGTCTCCTCCGATGCTACTGGGCTTGCGTATATCTCGTTTTGTTATGTCTATATCACGTGTATGAACTTCCAAGGTTTATGCTTGTGCTTATCGCACAGTGTGAACCAAGCTCTAGCTTTATAGTTATTTTGATTCCAGTTATCTGCCTTACGCAGCTGCAAGTTCGTTATTTACTCAACATGAAACGCATTGTGACCTTTTTTCTTTCTGTATCGCCTCTGTACCTAACCCTTGGACCATCAATTGAAACCGGTGTTGGGAGTTGAAAGGAATTTACTTTTAACGCTGTTATGCTCAACAGTAAAAAATTAACCAATATTTTATCGGACTTTCAAACGTACTGTAGTGAGTGCTTATCATTTGGATTTGATGTTGTTTGTTGGTTTAATGAAAGCTCCTTTTCTTTTTCCCGCAGCTGCCAAACCGACTAGGCCAAAGAGACCAGGAAAACCTGCAGGTGTGTGTTTGCCTAAAGAGCAAAAATATTACGTTTATTTTGACATTTTTTTAACATTTCTCCTGTTGTTTAGTTTTCTTTTAGTACTCTTGGTATCAAACAAAGCTTAGTAGAGAAATCGTTTGTATACTTCCTAAATTTTGTATTTCAATTCTATTTTGTCCGACAGCCGTTGGCCGCGCAGGCGCAGTTTACCCGCTCAGTTCCTCCACACGAGGTAAAGACGTCAGCACCAACGGCAACCCACCAGGAAGACGCAGCTACGTCAGAAACACGCGTGGCCCCGATGGCGTGCCAGGGACGGCAACGTTTTTTTACGGCCGTGCTAACAGTTACATTCAGTTCCCGAACCGCGGTAGACTAGACACGAGGCGATCCATCACCCTCTTGGCGTGGATCAAACACCTGGGACGCGCGGGACCCATCTTCAACTACATGCCGAATGGCTGGGGCGTGCACCTCTGGATGGTCACACCAAGAACGCTGTTTGTACGCTTCACACGTCGAAGAGGACGGCGTTTCACACCCGCGGTGACTAGTCGCACAGTTCGGTATCGAACTTGGGAGTACGTCGGTGCTGAGTACGATTATCGAACTGGAATCGCTCGGCTGTTTGTTAGAAATAGATTTGTTGCTTCGCGACGTATTGGACGCATAAGACTGGCCACTAATTACCCAGTTAGAATGGGCGCCAGGATTACAGACAGGAGGTACTTCCGTGGTAGCATTTCCTGTATGCAGGTATACAAGAAGGCTTTGTCTGCCAGACAGATCCTTGCTAGGCGAACGAGGTGCTTTAAGAGAGGTAGGGCGTTTTTGTTTTCACGGTATTCTTATATATAATGTATGTTGTCGTCTCTTGTGTTTTTGTTTATCTATTTCTGTTGCATGTAGAGAAAAGGCAACCATAAAAAGGCTTACAAGTACAACATTGTGACATTGGACATTGAAATTAAATACTTGTTTATCTCATTATATACGCTTCCGTTTTTCTTCAGCTGTTAAGTGATGCTCTTCTCAAGGTGACACAATTGAAACAAGTAGATACGAGAAAAATTGAAAGAAAATCACGATGTATTCTTTTTGTCACTTTTTTTTATTATTCTTTCACCATTCCTCTGATGCCTTACAGTTCCACGACTGCATCCTCCACGACCCAGACCGCCTCGACCAAGACCCAGACCTAGGCCCTACCCTGGTGGAAAAGGTATTTCTTGATTGGCGTACCTTCAAAATCCGTTTTTGAATCAAAGTTCATTGATTTTTTTGGTTTTCGGTATTCGTGTCGACAATCGTTGAGTTCAATTCTGAGCCATTTTATTTACGTGATGTTCTCAAAAGTCCATAGCTTTGGCTCTTGACGCTTTTAGAACACTCCAGAAAGACCTTTCTTTCATGATTAGCGGTGAAATGTAGCCTCAAATCCTGGTTTAATCGTCAAGCTCTGCTAGTGGTTGACGGAAACAAACTTCCACCCTTGATATAGGTCAAATGACAGTTACGGATGACGTTTACTCAGGCGCGCCATCTTGTATACATGTTCGTCTATCACTAATTTTATACCAATATTTCTTTGATCTTCAGTTTGCCGAGCCAGAATCGATCTTGCTTTCCTAATCGACGCCTCCGGAAGTGTTGGGCCTGCAAACTTCCGCCGCTGCTTAGCTTTTGTCAAAAACATGGCGCGTGTGTTCACCATCTCCAGAAGCTTCACCCGATTCGCAATCGTTCTTTACTCGTCGCGACCTTCCTTGATGTTCGGGTTTAACCGTTACACCAATCGACGGTCACTGCTACGAGCGATTGGTCGCATACGGTACACAGGTGGAGGTACCAAAACGGGCTTCGCGCTTACGTACACTTATCAGAGGGTCCTTCGCTTTAGCAGGCGAAGAGGCAAGGTCTTGATTGTCATGACCGATGGTCGATCTTATGATAATGTGTTACGTCCTGCTGTAAGGATTCGGGGCAGAGGTATACGAATACTATCCTTCGGAGTTGGTAAACGGTTCAGTATGGGACAACTACTGCAGATGTCAGCCAACAGGCGAAATGTGTTTACTGCTGATTTCAAGAACTTGAGGTCTGCGGTCAGAAGTCTGAAAAGGAGGGCCTGTGCAGGTAACCCACAAATATAACTACAATAGATATCAGTTATCATTAGATGTTTTGATGACGCAGTATACAGACAGATCTAGACTCCCGCGTACTGGTTCTTTTGTTTCACAACAAAAGGAATGCACTCTATCTCAAAAAAACAGTTATTTACAGCGATAATGAGTGCTAAAATGTCAAACTAGAGCCGCTGACGTTTTCCGACGTTTTCAGTTTCACAGTAGTTCGTTCTCAAACTCAAGTGTTTGGATCCCCTTTGAAACAGTGCGGGGTTTTCGGACTAAGTAGAGTCATAACTTAGTTAACCGCACTCTTCGAACTCAATTTTCATGCTCTACCAAGAGGAGTTAATATATAGATTTAGCCAAGCCTAAAAGCGGAGCTCCGCAATAAAAATCAACTAAGAACTGCTTAAAATGAAATCGTTCGTATCATTTTTTAAGTCAATTTTTGCACGCTCTCTTTTTCTGTTTCAGCGGCAAAACCTCGACCTCCTCGACCCGTCCAACCACCAAAACCAGTGGGTAAGTGTGCGGAATAACAAGTACTGATGTTTTGGTTGAAGCAATGAGATTTCATAGGGCTTACGCTTATCCCTAGTGAATACGCCCTTTTTTGGCCAATCAGATACAAAACAAAAGACGTTGTTGACTTAGTGGACGCCCCCCACCCCTCCCTCTAAGAATTTTAACAATACAAGTAACGGGAAAGGTTAAGGGGATCGCCGTCGATTTTTTTATTGGCCTGTCTTTTTAAATTTTTGGTTAATCAGATACAAAACAAAAAGTGGTGTTGACTTAGTGCGACTCCCCCCGCCCCTCCCTTCTAAGAATTTTAATTATACAAGTAACTGGTGTGGTTAAGGGGGTTGCCGTGGATTTTTTGATAGGGCTGGCTCCTTAAATTTGCGCCCTTTCCCGGACCTACACTGGACTGGTTTCCGTTTGCGTAAAACATAGGAACGCTTCATATCAAATGCAACAACTCGTTAGGAATTTATTTGTCTCTCATTCTTTTAAAGATAAATATTTTTCTACTGTGTCATTTAATTATCTAAGGCAATTCTCTATTTTAGCTCAAAGACAAAGTCTGGAGTATATTTTCAGATCTAAACAACTCAAATTCTACATCAAAGGAATTGGGTTTGTCACGATCATATTTAGCCTGAAACGAATTAAATCCCCCCACCCCAGCCTCTTTTCCCTGATTTGTTTTTCGACAACAATTAGAGAGAAACTCGCATATATTTAGTATTCTAGCGGACTTGCCTGTATCGAGCTACTGGCCAGCGCCAAATGTTCGCACAGGCAGTTTTTTCCGCCTGCATATTACACTTTACCATATGTGGTTAACTATCAACATGGCATTGAAGAGTAACATCTGTTTTGGGTATAATTTTCCCTCTAGCTATAAGACGAGCCGTCGCTGTTTATCCGCTGAACCGTTACACCAAAGGAAGAGACATCAGCTTCTCAAGGAATCCCCGCGGAACACTCGGCCGAGTCAGATACGCCCCTGGTCCTGATAATTCACCGGGTGGCGCAATAGAATTCTACGGTCGCAAATACAGCTACGTTGAATTCCCTAACCGAGGTAAAATCGACACGAAACGTTCCATAACTCTTCTGGCATGGATCTATCACACTGGTCAAGCTGGACCCATCTTTAACTACATGCCGAACGGCTGGGGCGTGCACTTCTGGATGGTTTCTCCTAGAAACCTGTTTGCACGGTTCACGCGTCGAACAGGGAGGCGTTTCAGTCGTGCTGTCTACAGTCCAAGCGTGCTACCGCGAAAATGGCAGTTGGTGGGAACAACGTACAGCTACAAAACCGGTATAGCCCGTTTGTTCGTGAACTCGAGGTTTGTGGCGTCTAAGCGTGTTGGACGATTCAGGCTGGCGACCAACTACCCGGTCAGAATGGGAGCTCGTGTTGGAGACAGACGATACTTTAAAGGACGAATCTCTTGTATGCAGGTCTACGGTCAAGCGTTGAACAGGAACCAGATTCTGGTTCGGCAGAGGAGATGTTTCAAACCAGGTAATAATCCCTGGGTCCACAAAATTCAGTAAAGTTACCAGGATTTTGAAATCTGGGCAATCACTTTGAAACGACCAAACTGTTCATTGTGCATGACCTCTGCCATTTTGACCAATATAAATTGTCGTACCATTGTGAAAGTTTTCTTTGTTTTATTTTTTCTCTATATTCGTAGTCCCAGTTAGACCCAAGCCAAGACCAGTGAGACCAGTGAGACCAACCAGGCCTAGAGGTAAGTGCTGTCGTTTGTTCCTTCTTCCCTTCGTGTTCTCGTTGCTTCGTTTTTTCTTCCCTCCTTGCCTTGTTGCCTCGTCCCTGCGTTTCTGCGTTCTCTTGTTGCCTCGTTCCTGCGTTCTCTGCTTGCCTCGAGTAACAACAATATGTACCTTTTAAAAAAAAATGCATATCCTTGTATTAGTGTACAGAAGGAGTATAAGTACTGTAAAGTTAAAGCAAACATTGCAAAATAATTTTAAAAAAAAGGAAACAGAGAAACAAAACATTACCAAGGTTATATTTCCGTTATATTCCAATTTTTTACCAAATGGCGAGTTTTTCTTGTCCTATCTCAGTTATGGCGTAAAGATTTTCCAGCGTTTATATTTGTTATACGGCTGTTGTCTTATTATACTTGTCCCATCCAGAACCAGGAGCCAAACCTGTTAAACCAGTTGGCCCTCGACCTGTGCGACCACGCCAACCAGGTAAACATGACCATTTATCAGTTAGAGCGGCTTTCAATTGAGTGTCGAAAGTTATCAGGCAATTACTTTGGTTTTGGTTTTGGTTTTACTACACTTAATTGAAAACGGCTCTATCGGAAGTGAAATAAAATGAAAAGAAACGGGAAAACAAAACCAGACAACTCATATCAGAGGAAATTTCTCCAAAGCTCTATACAATACTGAACCACTAGATTCTTAAAACCAGAAGATTTTCATATTTGTATTCGCAATCTGACGAAACCTACCTTTGCTGCCTTTGTAATTACATCTGCAAATGGTTAGACGCTCAGGTCTTCTCAAATAAGGACTATAAACCGTGGGCCCCTTGTCCCGCATCTTCAGTGTTACGCGGTTAGCAGGGTGGCGTTGTAGAACCCACACACTTATCGAAAAGAGTGGGTAGTTCCCGGTGTTGTGGTCTGGCCTTGTCGTAAGGGTTGATGCTTTACATAGGGTTAACCTCATTGCACCTTTCCCCCTTGGAAAGAATTACTATGACTACTATGACTATGACTACGACTACGACTACCATATTACCATATTATCTCTCACACGCAGTGCGTGCCGTGGCAATTTATCCCCTGAATGGAGGAATGCAAGGTCGCGACATCAGCTTGAGTAGGAATCCAGCGGCTATCTTAGGCAAAGTCAGGACCGCGCCAGGACCTGACAGAACACGTGATGGCTCGTACCAGTTCCTGGGTAAATCCAGCAGTTATATCCAATTTCCAAACCACGGAAAGCTGGACACAAGACGGTCCATCACTCTTATGGCGTGGATCTTTCACCAGGGTCGCGCAGGACCCATCTTCAACTACATGCCAAACGGCTGGGGCGTGCACTTCTGGATGATTTCACCGAGGACGCTGTTTGTACGGTTTACGCGTCGAAGGAGACGCCGCTTCACCAAGGCGGTGATGAGCAGGAGTGTCACGCCTAATCGATGGCAGCTTGTTGCTGCGACGTACGACGGAAGGTCGGGACAAGCCAAGCTGTTTGTGCAAAATCGGTTTGTGACGCAAACGTTCATTGGAAGAATACGATTGGCTACAAACTATCCAGTCAGAATGGGAGCGCGTCTTGGTGATAATCGTTTCTTCCTTGGGCGCATCTCCTGTATGCAGATTTATCCAATGGCACTAACGAGAAGACAGATACTTGCACGCAAAACCAGATGTTTCAGGAAAGGTCAGGCAAATTACCAACCTTGTTATCGTGTTACACGTTGATTGCTGACTCGAGCTCGAAATTTTATGGCACTTTTTCACCAATAAAAAAAAAGTACGAAGCTTTTTTTTATGTTCCTAGTGAGCAACATCATTGGCCAGGCTGAGTTGCTTGTGGACATTTATGCCATGTATGACTGCTTGTCATGATCAGAAGTTTTTCTAGCTTTTTCCACCGACACCTAGGAGCGTGGGCCACGACATTATCGTTAAATCTCGTGGTAAATGATGACGGCCAATGTGTTTTTTTTTTCGCCACAATCTTACTAAACATGCGTTCTCTTTTAGTTTTCGTAAATTTCGTATTCATAGCTCTACCTACATTGAAAAACAATGTTACAGCTGAATCTCTTTCAGCAATCGATCGAGCCACTTTGTACTGCTCTTGTTAAGTTTTTCTTTTGTGCTTTATTCAATGTAACTAAGACTTATCTTTTTCAGTTGTTCGACCTCGTCCCAGACCTCGACCAAAACCTAGGCCGAAGCCACCGATTCCAGGCCTGCCTGGTGGTCGAGGTAAGAATGTTTCTCAGACGCTACAGGCACGGTTTTAGTTATCAACCTGAATATATTTAAAGACAATATAGTTCTTCATGGCTGATAACAGCATTTATTACAATTTAGGGACTAATATGTCTTAATAATAAATGGCAAAAAAAAGAAACAAATAAAATGGCAATAACAGTAATAATGAGACTAAAGTTCTAAATAAAGCGATGAGGATGGTCCGTGAAAAGGTTAGAACCCCACACAAGACAGACCACCTATATATTAAATATGAAACCCATTGAATAAATGCAACGTTAATTTCCTTACAAAGTCGCTCTCACCGGTCTTAAAAACGCGCACATTCGAACCTCGCGGTTTCCTGCTAAAATAATTTGTTCTCTATTCGCCACATAGGTTTAGCTACATGTATGTGGAAGTTTCTGCTGAATAATCAATGTGCAATTACCTTTTTAGTTTGTCGCGCCAGAATTGACGTTGTATTCGTCGTCGATGGCTCGGGCAGCATCGAAGCTTCTGGTAGAGGTAACTTCAGGCGATGTCTCCGCTTCGTCAAGAACATGGTTCGTTCGTTCACAATATCAAGAAGTTACGTACGGGTTGGTATCGTGTTGTATTCATCTCGTACACGACTGATACTCACCTTCAATCAAAACCGTGGAGTTAACAGCATACTCCGAACCATTGACAGAATACAATACCCTAGGCGTGGCACTAGAACAGGCGCAGCCATTTCCTTTGCCCTCTCCCGCCTGTTCTCTGCCTCCAGGAGAGGGAGGTCGAAGGTCCTGATTGTCATGACTGATGGCCGGTCACAGGATAATGTAAGGGGTCCTTCCAGCATACTGCGCAGGCGCGGTGTAAGGATATTCTGTCTTGGTATTGGTAAACGCTACAATATGCAACAGTTGTTACAGATGGCTGGTAGTCGTCGAAACGTCTTCACGGCTGACTTCCGTAACCTTGGCTCTGTGGTACGAGCTATTAAGCAGAAGGCTTGTAAAGGTAAGAGATGTAAGGAAGATGTCTTGTTTTATAATTAGTTTTTAAAAGCATAAGACATAAGTAGCATCACGTTGTATTAAACGGAAATCTGAAAGTGCTCGTGCAAAAATGAAGAATTCCTTTAGCAAAGAATCCACAACAATACAGTAGGTAGCTTGCACTGCAGGCTATGCTCAAGCCCGAACGATTTGCAGAAGCATAAGCGTAAGAAAACTCTTGTGTGAAGGTACGTAAGATAAGCAAAAGAAAAGACGCTTTTTTGCCTTTTCATGTGCTGTGTACATTTCACTAATGTAAACCGGCTTGAGATAAGCACAAGCAGAAATAATAATGATGATGATGATGATGATGATGATGATGATGATAGATGTGATCCAATAAATATGATCTAATAATCATAGATATGATCCTCCTCGTCCGCCGTCTCCTCCGATGCTACTGGGCTTGCGTATATCTCGTTTTGTTATGTCTATATCACGTGTATGAACTTCCAAGGTTTATGCTTGTGCTTATCGCACAGTGTGAACCAAGCTCTAGCTTTATAGTTATTTTGATTCCAGTTATCTGCCTTACGCAGCTGCAAGTTCGTTATTTACTCAACATGAAACGCATTGTGACCTTTTTTCTTTCTGTATCGCCTCTGTACCTAACCCTTGGACCATCAATTGAAACCGGTGTTGGGAGTTGAAAGGAATTTACTTTTAACGCTGTTATGCTCAACAGTAAAAAATTAACCAATATTTTATCGGACTTTCAAACGTACTGTAGTGAGTGCTTATCATTTGGATTTGATGTTGTTTGTTGGTTTAATGAAAGCTCCTTTTCTTTTTCCCGCAGCTGCCAAACCGACTAGGCCAAAGAGACCAGGAAAACCTGCAGGTGTGTGTTTGCCTAAAGAGCAAAAATATTACGTTTATTTTGACATTTTTTTAACATTTCTCCTGTTGTTTAGTTTTCTTTTAGTACTCTTGGTATCAAACAAAGCTTAGTAGAGAAATCGTTTGTATACTTCCTAAATTTTGTATTTCAATTCTATTTTGTCCGACAGCCGTTGGCCGCGCAGGCGCAGTTTACCCGCTCAGTTCCTCCACACGAGGTAAAGACGTCAGCACCAACGGCAACCCACCAGGAAGACGCAGCTACGTCAGAAACACGCGTGGCCCCGATGGCGTGCCAGGGACGGCAACGTTTTTTTACGGCCGTGCTAACAGTTACATTCAGTTCCCGAACCGCGGTAGACTAGACACGAGGCGATCCATCACCCTCTTGGCGTGGATCAAACACCTGGGACGCGCGGGACCCATCTTCAACTACATGCCGAATGGCTGGGGCGTGCACCTCTGGATGGTCACACCAAGAACGCTGTTTGTACGCTTCACACGTCGAAGAGGACGGCGTTTCACACCCGCGGTGACTAGTCGCACAGTTCGGTATCGAACTTGGGAGTACGTCGGTGCTGAGTACGATTATCGAACTGGAATCGCTCGGCTGTTTGTTAGAAATAGATTTGTTGCTTCGCGACGTATTGGACGCATAAGACTGGCCACTAATTACCCAGTTAGAATGGGCGCCAGGATTACAGACAGGAGGTACTTCCGTGGTAGCATTTCCTGTATGCAGGTATACAAGAAGGCTTTGTCTGCCAGACAGATCCTTGCTAGGCGAACGAGGTGCTTTAAGAGAGGTAGGGCGTTTTTGTTTTCACGGTATTCTTATATATAATGTATGTTGTCGTCTCTTGTGTTTTTGTTTATCTATTTCTGTTGCATGTAGAGAAAAGGCAACCATAAAAAGGCTTACAAGTACAACATTGTGACATTGGACATTGAAATTAAATACTTGTTTATCTCATTATATACGCTTCCGTTTTTCTTCAGCTGTTAAGTGATGCTCTTCTCAAGGTGACACAATTGAAACAAGTAGATACGAGAAAAATTGAAAGAAAATCACGATGTATTCTTTTTGTCACTTTTTTTTATTATTCTTTCACCATTCCTCTGATGCCTTACAGTTCCACGACTGCATCCTCCACGACCCAGACCGCCTCGACCAAGACCCAGACCTAGGCCCTACCCTGGTGGAAAAGGTATTTCTTGATTGGCGTACCTTCAAAATCCGTTTTTGAATCAAAGTTCATTGATTTTTTTGGTTTTCGGTATTCGTGTCGACAATCGTTGAGTTCAATTCTGAGCCATTTTATTTACGTGATGTTCTCAAAAGTCCATAGCTTTGGCTCTTGACGCTTTTAGAACACTCCAGAAAGACCTTTCTTTCATGATTAGCGGTGAAATGTAGCCTCAAATCCTGGTTTAATCGTCAAGCTCTGCTAGTGGTTGACGGAAACAAACTTCCACCCTTGATATAGGTCAAATGACAGTTACGGATGACGTTTACTCAGGCGCGCCATCTTGTATACATGTTCGTCTATCACTAATTTTATACCAATATTTCTTTGATCTTCAGTTTGCCGAGCCAGAATCGATCTTGCTTTCCTAATCGACGCCTCCGGAAGTGTTGGGCCTGCAAACTTCCGCCGCTGCTTAGCTTTTGTCAAAAACATGGCGCGTGTGTTCACCATCTCCAGAAGCTTCACCCGATTCGCAATCGTTCTTTACTCGTCGCGACCTTCCTTGATGTTCGGGTTTAACCGTTACACCAATCGACGGTCACTGCTACGAGCGATTGGTCGCATACGGTACACAGGTGGAGGTACCAAAACGGGCTTCGCGCTTACGTACACTTATCAGAGGGTCCTTCGCTTTAGCAGGCGAAGAGGCAAGGTCTTGATTGTCATGACCGATGGTCGATCTTATGATAATGTGTTACGTCCTGCTGTAAGGATTCGGGGCAGAGGTATACGAATACTATCCTTCGGAGTTGGTAAACGGTTCAGTATGGGACAACTACTGCAGATGTCAGCCAACAGGCGAAATGTGTTTACTGCTGATTTCAAGAACTTGAGGTCTGCGGTCAGAAGTCTGAAAAGGAGGGCCTGTGCAGGTAACCCACAAATATAACTACAATAGATATCAGTTATCATTAGATGTTTTGATGACGCAGTATACAGACAGATCTAGACTCCCGCGTACTGGTTCTTTTGTTTCACAACAAAAGGAATGCACTCTATCTCAAAAAAACAGTTATTTACAGCGATAATGAGTGCTAAAATGTCAAACTAGAGCCGCTGACGTTTTCCGACGTTTTCAGTTTCACAGTAGTTCGTTCTCAAACTCAAGTGTTTGGATCCCCTTTGAAACAGTGCGGGGTTTTCGGACTAAGTAGAGTCATAACTTAGTTAACCGCACTCTTCGAACTCAATTTTCATGCTCTACCAAGAGGAGTTAATATATAGATTTAGCCAAGCCTAAAAGCGGAGCTCCGCAATAAAAATCAACTAAGAACTGCTTAAAATGAAATCGTTCGTATCATTTTTTAAGTCAATTTTTGCACGCTCTCTTTTTCTGTTTCAGCGGCAAAACCTCGACCTCCTCGACCCGTCCAACCACCAAAACCAGTGGGTAAGTGTGCGGAATAACAAGTACTGATGTTTTGGTTGAAGCAATGAGATTTCATAGGGCTTACGCTTATCCCTAGTGAATACGCCCTTTTTTGGCCAATCAGATACAAAACAAAAGACGTTGTTGACTTAGTGGACGCCCCCCACCCCTCCCTCTAAGAATTTTAACAATACAAGTAACGGGAAAGGTTAAGGGGATCGCCGTCGATTTTTTTATTGGCCTGTCTTTTTAAATTTTTGGTTAATCAGATACAAAACAAAAAGTGGTGTTGACTTAGTGCGACTCCCCCCGCCCCTCCCTTCTAAGAATTTTAATTATACAAGTAACTGGTGTGGTTAAGGGGGTTGCCGTGGATTTTTTGATAGGGCTGGCTCCTTAAATTTGCGCCCTTTCCCGGACCTACACTGGACTGGTTTCCGTTTGCGTAAAACATAGGAACGCTTCATATCAAATGCAACAACTCGTTAGGAATTTATTTGTCTCTCATTCTTTTAAAGATAAATATTTTTCTACTGTGTCATTTAATTATCTAAGGCAATTCTCTATTTTAGCTCAAAGACAAAGTCTGGAGTATATTTTCAGATCTAAACAACTCAAATTCTACATCAAAGGAATTGGGTTTGTCACGATCATATTTAGCCTGAAACGAATTAAATCCCCCCACCCCAGCCTCTTTTCCCTGATTTGTTTTTCGACAACAATTAGAGAGAAACTCGCATATATTTAGTATTCTAGCGGACTTGCCTGTATCGAGCTACTGGCCAGCGCCAAATGTTCGCACAGGCAGTTTTTTCCGCCTGCATATTACACTTTACCATATGTGGTTAACTATCAACATGGCATTGAAGAGTAACATCTGTTTTGGGTATAATTTTCCCTCTAGCTATAAGACGAGCCGTCGCTGTTTATCCGCTGAACCGTTACACCAAAGGAAGAGACATCAGCTTCTCAAGGAATCCCCGCGGAACACTCGGCCGAGTCAGATACGCCCCTGGTCCTGATAATTCACCGGGTGGCGCAATAGAATTCTACGGTCGCAAATACAGCTACGTTGAATTCCCTAACCGAGGTAAAATCGACACGAAACGTTCCATAACTCTTCTGGCATGGATCTATCACACTGGTCAAGCTGGACCCATCTTTAACTACATGCCGAACGGCTGGGGCGTGCACTTCTGGATGGTTTCTCCTAGAAACCTGTTTGCACGGTTCACGCGTCGAACAGGGAGGCGTTTCAGTCGTGCTGTCTACAGTCCAAGCGTGCTACCGCGAAAATGGCAGTTGGTGGGAACAACGTACAGCTACAAAACCGGTATAGCCCGTTTGTTCGTGAACTCGAGGTTTGTGGCGTCTAAGCGTGTTGGACGATTCAGGCTGGCGACCAACTACCCGGTCAGAATGGGAGCTCGTGTTGGAGACAGACGATACTTTAAAGGACGAATCTCTTGTATGCAGGTCTACGGTCAAGCGTTGAACAGGAACCAGATTCTGGTTCGGCAGAGGAGATGTTTCAAACCAGGTAATAATCCCTGGGTCCACAAAATTCAGTAAAGTTACCAGGATTTTGAAATCTGGGCAATCACTTTGAAACGACCAAACTGTTCATTGTGCATGACCTCTGCCATTTTGACCAATATAAATTGTCGTACCATTGTGAAAGTTTTCTTTGTTTTATTTTTTCTCTATATTCGTAGTCCCAGTTAGACCCAAGCCAAGACCAGTGAGACCAGTGAGACCAACCAGGCCTAGAGGTAAGTGCTGTCGTTTGTTCCTTCTTCCCTTCGTGTTCTCGTTGCTTCGTTTTTTCTTCCCTCCTTGCCTTGTTGCCTCGTCCCTGCGTTTCTGCGTTCTCTTGTTGCCT